TTGAGTCCTTTGAGGTTCGCGATTAACAAACCCGAAAATCAAATAGTACATTTGCCGACTCGAATATAATTCTTTATAATAGTTAAAAAAAATTGTTCGATAACATTTCCTTTTTATTATATATAAAGGCAAAGATAGACTAAACAAACATGACAATTAGGCTTGCGTATACAGTGCGACCCGCAGTAAACAGGTTACGAATTTCGGGCACAAGAGGTTCGAGTGAGCGCTTAGCCCTGTACCGCATTAATAAAGGTAAGAGCGGCCGTGTCGCCTAATGTGTCGTTATGACCCGCACTCAAAAACTTCTTCAGCGCCTCAGAATCTTTTCCAAACACTCAATAATGAAATTAAACACTATAGAAACAAGGTCTTATTTACAATGTAAGACGCTACAGTAAACGTGTTTATGGATCGTCATGAAAAGCCTGCAATTTCTGCTCTTTGTATCCAAATTAAACTTTATTACGTCGACCCTTAAAGCTGAATTACCTTGTTCTTCATTTAGATGTCGGTACGCATTTACAGCTTCCATATTTTTAACTCGAACAAAAAGAAAACAGTGAAAATGGACCTTTTGTACAAAAATTTTGAGTTCCTGTGAACTATACTTGTATCTTTAAGCGCCTGTAGTTCTAGGAGCGGCAATGTTTTAGGACAGAACTTTGCTTCTTGTTGCCAGGCTCTTTATTATTGATGCCGCCTAGATATAATATGGTTCTTGACGCGAGTAGGTTTTTTTAAATATTAATAGATGTTATTAAGTATTCATACCTGTACAGTCTCATCGTATGAATAACTGTGGCTTGTAGACCTCGTACACATTTCACCAGCGCTTATTAAACGCCAGCATCTGAAAAAAAAACAAAAGTATTTTTTATAGTTTTTATAAGATTGTATTTGTTGTAGACAATACCAGAAAGCCACAGCAAAACTTTGAAGCGACTGCAAATAATAATCAGTGTCCTAGTTGATTTCGGAAAACTTGTCAGTAGCTCATGTATAATTAAAGCTGAGGATAAAGGCGATAACTCACTCTGCGTTCTGGCCAAACACTTCAGCTGAGGAAATGCTTTTTACGACTTAATTAGCCACATCTCGGAAGAAGCGGAGAATTATAAATAGTATTTTTATTATACATCTTAAACGGATTAGTAGGAGTGCGTTACATTTATGTTCTTTTTCATTTATTAAGTTGTTAATAGAGCGAATTTGGAACATTTTTAATACCATAGACCAGTTATATTTATACGAATTTTGGACTAACGTAACTATATTTGGGGATTGTCGTCAATACTCATAGTTAATTTTACAACCATTCTTTGTCTAGATCATTTGTTGTATTTATCTAATTCATATTGAATACAGTATAAAGTTGCCAACCATTAAAAAATGACTCCTAAAAAGTTCACAACTGATAACTTTATCTTTAAGTCGTGATCGCAAGAAAAAGGGCGGGCATCGATCGGAGGCTTCGAAATTCGCGTCACGCAGCATACCGGCTGCTGCGTGTCGCCATGACAACGATTTGTGATCTCCAACACACATTCCCGCAAATACCGAAAGAATGTACGATTCATCACCTTAAGTCAGAATCGATAAATAAAAGTGTGGAAAGAAACGATTTAACAAATATTATTTAATTATTTTAATCTAAATATAACAAATAGGAGCATTTATGTGATAGATATAGTACGTTTTGTTTTCTTATTTCTAGATCTAGAAAATACAAAATATAGAGCGTGTCATGTCAAGAGGGCTCGTTGGAAAGTTAGAATTGTACTAGAGCCGTGGCTCTCTGGGTTACGAAGGAACACTGACACATGTTATACTAAATTAAAAAATATATTTTAATAATGAAGAAAAAATAAGACTATAACGCTTAAAAGAAAAAAGGTACTATATGGTAACAAAATATTTTAATACGTCCATCATCTAAATTCTAAACCACTGTACTTTATTTGTACAAAAATATATTAAGATTTATCTAAATAAAAATAAAAAACTGATATCGATACTGTACTTGAAAATCTCTGTCACCGTTTTTCTAACAAGCGGGCAATAAGCCAATTTATCATTCAGTGTCAACAAGCTTTCAGCCAACGGATTATATTTAATAATAAATCACGTTTTTTAACTAATCGATTTATATCTAATAAGTCGTTAACGTGTACTTATTTAAAGAAATAAAAATCAGTTTCAGTAATTTAGTAGATTAAGAGAAAACAACATACCACCACGTATCTAGTGAGTTCACTATCGTACAAAAAATCGCAAATCTTCGAATGTGTCAAATAGTTATTAAAAAAATATTCAGGCGTTAAACCTATAAGTCATTACCAGGGTTATTAAAAATAAAAGCGTGAGAAATAGGATGCAGTAGAACACCCCGCGGCGTCGCCCGTGTTCCCGGGATTATTAATAGCTAACGGGAAGCCGGGACGTCGCCTTCCTAACTGCTTATTGTTTACCTCAGCGGCTTTCAACCCTTGCACTAACAAACATACAACTAACAATAATAAAACGTTGTTAACGTAGGAAACTACCGACAAAATTTATTTATTTAAATCTATATTTTATCCAATACTTTTCATCAATACTGAGTTAAGTCACTATTGGAATGCCCACTGATATTTCGAGATTTTTTTACTTCCGCAAGAAACCGTAAGTCGAATAAAAAAGATTTAGCCCTACCGGCCATTAGCTTTTCAATTCTTTGTTTCTTTTTTAATTATTAAAAGGTATAATAAAATACAATAATAGAAACATTTGGCTCAATCTGACATAAGTGGTTGTCGCAGTCGGCATTATAATTTGTAATATTTCTTCAATCTACCTTCAAAAAACATGTGTAAAATTATTCAGCCTTAAACAAGATTATTTCCACTGGAAACAAGTTGCATATTATCGTGTGATAATATGTGATAGCTTTTCAGTTTCCGGTCTTAAAACTATGTTTTTATATGATATAAATATCTTACCTTCACTGTCCTCTCTTATACAATATACTCATGTCAGTGACACAAAGTTTTCTAAAAACTGTAAAATTTACAGCGCCCAAAAGTTTTATCACAAACTTCATGAAAAGTCACAACACTTTTATAACAACAGCGCATGTTAAGACTACCTACTTCTTGAATAAAGATGAATATACGTGCGATACAATTTCTAGTTCATTTCTAATGTTTACTTTCACAGCTGGTTTATGTATAACGTCCACAACACCGCCCTACAAGCAAAGCCCACGAGATTACTGAGCCTATGCCCTAAACGCTTAACCGAAAAACCACGAATAAATACGCAATTTCAGTGCGTGATGAAATAAATGATGCTATTTTACTACCGTGCCATCTAGTGGCAAATAGCGACATATACAAAAAATACGTCGCTTGTTCGCATAAAGTTTAACGAAATATTAATAGATGGCAACTTTGAACATAAAATGGAGACCAATAAAAACTGTTATACTAGACTACTGCCTCTAAATTTCAATAAAATTACCAATTTTTACTAAATTCCAATCGTTTTGATTTTAGGACTACAAGAATTATATAATATTTCATTTCGAGTGAAAAAGTATTTTGTTAAATAACAATTTATTTCTTTTTTCTAAAACTGGAATCTGTCAACAAATGTCAGATTGACATTTAATTGAATCGTCTTTTTGTTTATTTCTGTTTTAAAAATTTTAAAATAATCAAAAAAAATTAAATTACAAGTTTCTCAAACTTTTACATATAATTTTCAAATAAAACTTTAATTCAACAAAATTCTGAGAACAAAAATGGTTAAAATCTGGAAATTAGGCCTTGTCAGTTATGATACCGCTTTAAAAATTCAACAAGCTCTTGCGAAGAGACATTTCAATGCTTTAAGGAATGGTCAAAGCATTAATAACGATACTCTTCTGCTAGTCGAACATAAGCCTGTCTACACTGTTGGTTAGAATTTTCAATTACCATATACATATTCACTATTTACTGAAACCTTGAAGGAGCACCATTCGATATTTTTATGTCTAAAATGAAATATTGTTTGTAGGTATAAGAGATGAAACACCTGAGGAAGAAATTTTAAGACTACGAGGTTTAGGTGCTGAATTTAGGAAAACTAATAGAGGTGGTCTTATAACATTTCATGGTCCAGGTCAATTAGTGGTGTACCCAATTTTCAACTTGAAAAATTACAAAACTAGTGTCAAATGGTATGTTAAGAGTTTAGAAGAGACTGTTATCCAATTATGTGAAGAGTTAGGTGAGTAATAGAAATCAAATAAACTTCAGTAAAACTTTAAGCATAAAAATTAAAATTCTTGTCAAAGCTGTCAAAATTAGGTAGCATTTTTCTTTTATGATTGCCTATTACTAGTTTTATTCCCAGTAAATCTATCTTTTCAACTTAATTTTAAGGATATATTTATGATGTGATCAAAATTATTGTAATATTGTATATTATATTATGATACTAATTGTTTTTTTTTTGCTTCTAGGTTTGGAAGCAAGTAGATCACCTTATACGGGTGTCTGGATTGGTGACAATAAAATTGCCGCTATTGGAATACATGCATCAAGATATGTTACCACACATGGTATCTCATTGAATTGTGATAATGATCTGTCATGGTTTAACCACATTGAACCTTGTGGCATAGAGGATAAAGGTGTAACTTCTCTCAGTCAAGAAACAGGAACCACATTCACCCCGGATGTAGTAACGCCTATGTTATTAAATAATTTTCAAAAGGTTTTTAATTGTTCCTTAGAAGATATTGATACTGATTTACAAGAAGATATCCTAAATGGTGTTTATAATAAATTAATACTCGAATCTGTAGAAAGTTAAGTTTTTAGACATTGTATAGAAAAATTTTAAGCAAACTCATAGAATCTATTTATTAGTTTTGTTACTGGTTGATATTTTTGTTCTAATGTTTGAGATGGAATAAAAAAAAACAGTAAATTTGTACAATTTTATTTCATTTATGCAATAAAGTTAAAAAAAATAAATAGTATATTAATCTAAATAATTTATGAAATCTCAAGTTGGGTTGAGTGAAATGTAAATATGACTTTGAGTCTCATTTTTTTTTGTTTGTCCATCTTTATTATTTTTTCTTTATTCTTGACATTTCATCAAAACCCAACTGAAAGTTCAATGAGAGCTTTACTGTTTAACGCCAAATGGACGGATACAGTATATTTACAAATCTATTAGTTTCCTAATGAGTTACAAAACATAAGATGTTACTACATAGTGTGATAAATGATTGTATGCAATTCTTATATATCTAATTATTACCTAAAGTATTTAATACGAAATCCAATAATTTAATTTTCAGAATAATCCCCTAAAATTATTAATAATCCATACAATGACTGAAATTTCTTAGGGATTATTCCAAAGTACATTTTTCACCTAATATAATATTTATGATAGTTGTACATACTTTTGTTCATCCAAAATTAGTCTAACTAATATTAATAAATGCATTGTCCAAAACTAAACTATTTTTTAGCTTAAATAACTAACTAGTTTGCTGTAAAATTAGTCACGACTATAAAATTAATATTTTGTATATAAAAAGCCAGTTGATACAAATAATAAGCAAATACTTAAACATAATAAATGCATTCAAATGCAATATTTTACCATTTTTGTAAATGCTAAATTCCGGTGGTTGATATCCAATGCCAATTATTTTAATCAATTCCTAAAAGTTCAATTCGTTCGTTTTTCTATTTATTGCGATTATCAGTCAAATGTATCACAAATTGATGTAAATCCAGCGCTTAGCAATAAAAACACTAGAATCCTCATAACCTCAAAATCTGACATGATGACATTACGACATGTGTTTTGGCGGGGTCAGCCATTTGCGCATGTAGTAACAAAAGATTGTGGCGATGTAGAGTAGAACGAGAAGTGCGCAGGCGACGCCCAAAAGCAACACCGATGATTTGCTTGGGCACGGCTCCACAATTGTTACTGTTTTCTCTGTAATTTGAAAATAAATAATGTTAAATTGCTGATTTTACTAATAAAATACTAATACTGTAAATTATTTGGGCCACTATTTTGAAGTCTTAAATATATATAGAACACTAGTGACTATCGGATATGGCTTTCATACTACTTAGTTGTATTGGTTTAATTATATTTACGTATGCTGTATCTTACCCCCAAAGTTAGCTTCAGACGCTGTACCGCCAGGCTTATCAGAACGGAGGAAATCTGTGCTCTGTCTTTCATCACCAAAATCTAGGACGAGGATTTCTTGTGAGATGTTCATATTCTCCTCTTTTCTCGACTCTTCGGTTTCGTTTGCCGGCAGCGAACGCCTCTTTCTTCCCCAAGACTCCAAAGATTCTCTGCCCCATTCGCACAACGCCTGAAAACGAGTAGCATTTTAATAACCAACCGTATTTTACAGTAACGTAGCACACTAATTCACAATTTTTTACAAATTTTATGTTCGATGAACCTAGCGTTTCCATCTTATAGTATGATGACTATTAAACCAGTTATTTAAAAAAAACTGTCGAGATGATATGACACGGTATCTGCCATGTTTTATTGTTCTAATCCATCGCAGTACCACGTCATACCATAACAAATGTCAAACAATTTCCTTTAACACCGTAGCTAATACTACCCACACGAAATTTGCAACAAAAAATGAAAATGAACATTTTTTTAACAAACGATTTAATACACTCACCGGTTCACAAGGCCCGAGGCAGTATTTGACGTTGCATTGGAAGATAACTCCGTAGGATTCGGTAAATCTAAAAGCTTCGTACACGGACTGAAGTGCGTTACCGTCTGGTGTAAAACCTGGGAAGATTGAAGGATCCACTGGACACCTAAAAGAGATATATTGACGTTAATATATGATATATGACAAATTAGAAATGAGACGTTAGTATTTGATGTTACTGACCCTTCATCGTCGATGATTGTGAACGTGCTCTTTGAGTCCTTGGCCATGGCGACGCAGCTTCGTGCGAAGATGCCGTATGGAGCTATGAAAAAAGAAATATTTAAATAAGACTTCTAAAAAACAATTTTATAAAGATTTTTTCTTATGAAGCTTTCAAAACAATTGTGTCTTTCGATTGTTTTGGTGGTCAAATTACGTCACCATAAATGAAGATGTATACAATTTATTCAGCTGAGTGCTCTATATCTGCAATCTACTGCCTCTTAATGTACAGACAATCTCGTATATCTTACTGTCGTCGGGTATTTCGATACGGAAGGTGAGACGGTCTCCGATGCGCACGGTTTCCACCTCGCGCTCGCGCCCGTCCAGGATGCGAATGCGTGGAGGAGGAGCCTCGGGGGCGGCCGTGATTGAAATCATCTCCGGGTCTCTAAAACAATGTATACTAATAAATTACATGGAAAAAGAACAAAATACCAATACTACAGTTGGTATTTTAGTAAAACAATCACTATCGGAAGGATTGGAATCGTTACCGAAGCTTTTTCTTAACATTCTTTTATGTTTAAATTAATCATTCGAACAACAATTGTTGGTAGTCCCTTTTATGCACTCCTTTCATAAACACTAAGACTTATTTGAAAATCAAAGTTTGTTTACATTAAGGAAGTACGCTAAACCCGTAACATTGTTTTAGATATAATCTTGACAAGTAATCATGGTATTATTATCGTAACAAAAAGCTTAGCAAAAACTTCGCAACACGCATAACTCACGAACGAATACTTAGTACTATTTACATATTTATAAGGCAACAGTGGATAGTGTCTATCCACTCGCGCTATCGCGTACTGAGATGCACCTAAATTTTTCATATTTCGTATCCACATCACGTATACAGTTTCTACTATTGTCTTTTAAATTCTAGCCGAGATGCTAATAGGTGTGAAGTGGTCCGTTATTGTGGAACATACTAACCTGATTGGCACCATTCCGAATGTTATATTCTTCGAGCTCATGTCATAGGTACATTTCACTTTGTAGATCTTATCCGCTTTTGTCATGACAACGCTGTGATGTTGCAGAACTACTGTGTTAGAATACACACCGGTCTGAAAGAAACATTTATGACATTTAAAATGATAAAATAAACTTTTAAGAGTTGGCGTATCGTAGCTGTGGAAATATTTTTAAATGTTATATTACAGTAAGAGATTCTCGGTTTCGGTTTCTAAGGCCGCTACGTTTGTGGTCCCTTTAAATTACTTTTGCTCCAGTAAATAATCCGAAAATCATCCCTTCGATATCTTAATCCTTACTCCCGTGGTAAATTATGGTCTATATAAATTAATGCTCAGGAACAAAAAATAACATCTCAATAAATTATTTAATGATACTTACGACACTCTGAGTGTTACAATCCTGTCCAGCCATGGTGAGGTCGAGACGGAAGAGGTCGCTGTTGACGACATCAATGTTACAAGTCTCAGAACGACCGAGGGCGTAGATGCGACCGTTGAAAGGCTTGTTTGTGCGAACTTGTACTGCGATCCTGGTGTCTTTGCAGTGAACGGATACTAGAAGAGACAATACATTGAATAGATATAAGAATTACTTTGTCTACTTTCTTCTATCTGTAAGAAATATTATTAAATCTTACCATCATAGCATGTGCCAGTTTTGTCACAGTTTGCATCGTTCCTCGTAAGGTTGCTTTGAACGCTGGTTTCATCTTGCTGATGATCGATTGTAACTGGCAACTCGCCGGACGGACTCGCAGGTGGCTCTGAAAAAATATACATCATGAATATCTTCATGTTTACAGCAAGATGTCAACTCCAAATGCAACCCTGTATATGTAATGATTCAAAAATTTGAGGCGCGCAATCTCAAGAAATCCTAAGAATTGAGAGATGAACAATAAACCGCTTTTACCACAAAGAAAAATATAGAACATCAAACAATATTCTATAACACAAGCAGGTGTATTGTACGCTAGTAAATAATTTTTATAATAGTTTATAAAAGTAAAAGAATGTTCGTGTACTGCATTCAATAATAGACGATACAAGTTTGTGGCTATGTTGCGGCGGACCATAGACGATCCAAAGTGTACACCGACACCGCAATTACACTACGAACGAGCAAAAGCTCGCCGCTTCGGGCAATTCTAGATTTTCACACGCAATCCGAATGCACTAGGCGATTCCAAACTAATATCCACAACGAATGTACGATGTTGAGACTGTCAATTCAAACGTAACGTATTATTATGGTGTGATTTACTGAAATGTCGACGCAATTATTGTGACCAATCGTTTTAATATATAATGTGACTCTGATACAGGTCATTATGTCACATGCAACAAGCATAGTTAGATATATACGATATAAGAGTTCTAAGATATATATATATATATATATATATATATATATATATATATATATATATATTAATTTGATGAGGAACATATAATGGACATCATTGGAAGCAAGATGGTACATTTTCATTGTGCTACAAACAAAGGTAGGTTACATTTTAATACATTTCCTATTTTAAATTCTCAACGACCGTGGACTTTCTCATTCGAAACCGTTTTTCTCATGACCGCTTTGTAACTGTGTCTAGAATTTACCACGTATATTTACTTGCGGCATCCTACCCTCCATTGCAATGGATAGAAATAGCTTATATTTAGCAACGTTTCCTAGTTGATTATATTCTATGCCAGTATGTTAATTGAGTAATCTACTATCTGTCTAGTTAACTGGAATCCTAAACGCTCAATCGTTTGATAACCTGAGAAATCAACGCGATGTTTAATTCAAGCTTTGATATAAGCAGTTCTGTGAGCCTCGGACTCTATATTTTAAACGTTATTAGAGAATTTTATGAATCTGTAATGAATTTATGCCCAGAACCTATAGTGAGTGATTACAACCTGTATATCCTGATTATAGATCTTAGAGAACTTTCCTTGATAAGACTTTATTATTTTCTATTCATGTATTAGTTTATTTTATTAGCAGCTCATAGCAGTATACATTTAAAAAATGATCTTGACAGGCAGACGGACGGACAACAAAGGGCTCCGTTTTTTTCCTATGAGGTACGGAACTCTAAAAACAATGAGAAAACATGTAAATATGTTATTGCGAATTTAAAAATAAACCTACTTATGTTGGGCCAATACACGCAAGCTCGGCAGCCGATACGATGTGACCATTTAGGTGATTGACCGCTTGATTCGGACAAAGTTTTGTCTCGCCCACAGGTAAAATGGCAAATATTCATTCAACATGTTATCATTATTTAACTTCAAACATGGGCTACGTGTAATTCTGGTATGCGATAAAAAGTAGTTTTCAATTCATAATTTTAAATACAAAAAAACTTGATAACAATCCTAAAACTGTATTTGCTTAGATTTAGATCATTTGAAAAGTATATTATTATATTATAGCTTTGAATGTCAGTTATTTGATTCAAATCGATGCATCAAGTAAAAGGTAAATTATATATTCCTTCTAGTACGACCGGCTCTGCTAAATATATCTCTCTAGATAAATCTTGATTACTTCGGCAACGTAGATACAAGATTACCATTAAGACGTCCTGCTTACATTTATTAAATAACAATTTTTGCTAATGTCTCTAAAAGTAACATTTCATATTGTTGCTATTTAAATGTTGAACCTGACGAGACATCTCAGACTTTGTGCTATTATTTAAAATGTAAATTACTTAACCACTTCAAAATTGTTTGCTCCTATCGAAAGCGCCTCTATCAATGTATCCTAAAGTTAGTAATTTATTTGTTACACCTCTACGACTACTTTAATATAAAATTCCCGAAGAAAATTCACACTATTCCTTAGTACTAATCAAGTACTCTGTAGGGCATTGAGCGAAACAGAGGCGTATTGCGAATATATTTAAATTCAAAAGCAATAATTAATCTTGACTTAACGAAGTATTGATAACAGTCATGCATAGTTTTTAAGCGTGTAAAGCGATAGTTTTTGCACGACTACGCTTCAGTAGACAACAGAATTCTCACGGTAAATAAAGATGAGAACATGTAGATGCGATAGGCAGGTGCACAGATATTATTGCCGATTAAAATTCCAATTCTGATTTATTAATAGAAGAAAATTGTAGTAATTAACGAGTACATGATTTTATAAGCTTTTATCTATTTTAACATAATCGAGACTGACACATAAAGATTCAATTGACCAAAGACCAATTGTAGTTGACGTTTCGATTGATAATAATGAATATTATTATAATTTTAACACTGCTTTACTCACCTATTTTAATAGGTTTAAGGTATAATATTAAAATTTCACAGATTTTCACTTTTTACCTTCATTAAATACACAAAGAAAGTTTAACAAAACTATTATCAATAATGTTTAATCCAACGTTTGAATTACGACATGTCTTATCATTTCGACTACAGTTAATAAATTCAATAAAACAGTTCGGACGTCTATTACGTATTTAGTGTACATAATTAGTTAAGTATCGCTAACAAAAACGTCAATTCAATTTAAGCATCACAGCGGGGTACGGAATGAGGTATTTCAACGAAAATAAGTAAAAAAAAAGGTCTATATAAGTAGCGTTGTATAGCAAATGACCGCAGTAGACGATAACGGTGCTATTTTGTATCACGGTAGTTTTGTTGGCAAACCAGTCGGGTCACCGTTTAGATTATCCAGTGTGCACCCACCACATTAAACCTCGTAATCGTTTTTATTCAATGTCACATCAAGGAGCAATCTATCATCCACTTTTCTTGATACTTTTTGTTATGTTACACTGTCACATATCATGTACTTAAAATCCGTTATAAAGGTAGAGATTATAGGAGTCAAGGACGAGAATTTAAATTATCTCATCAGCGTTTTTATCGTACATAATATGAAATAACAAACTATGTATGTATTATGTACTTTAAACTGTTATTTAATTCAATACTATCAGTCGCCCACGACTTCGTTAGACCAGAGATTATCCGGACTAAAGGCGGGTGTTTGACGCAGACAAAACAACACAATGCATCATGTGTATGAAACATGTTTTTTTATATCAAATACAGACTACAGGCTACAGGTATTTTATTAATTTTATAGATAGAGACACTAAGGTTGCAATAAAAAGGAAATGTTTATTGACTCTCCAACGCGCTTATTATAAAAACCAAACCATTTTCCCCATTAAAAAGTCATAATAGTAAATTAATTTAGTTTTATATAAAGAACAACATTGTTACATGTGTTACAAAATGAATAAAATGTTGCGTTGCTCGATGCGGTATTTTTTAAGCTTGGAGCGCGGCCGGTGACCGGCATTGAGTCAAGAGCAAGGTCACTTCTCGTACATTGTGCATTAAAAACGCATCCAGCTATTAATAGCTATTAATAGTTGCTTAACAAACCGTAACTTGATGTAAGCACTATACATTCATTGCTTGTAACAATTTTAATTAAATACTCTTCATATCACATCTGATCTGATTTTACATTGGATTAATTGCATATGTTTTAAAGAACGAGGGTAAAATCTAGATGGAAAATATTTTACGGGGATATCGAATACGGTTACAAATGTGTGAGTTAAAAATGTAAAATCTAAACTATTGTAAAATAGCAACGTATGCCATGAACAGTAAACCGAATTATTTGTTTAATTCGTAAATTTTATTATAAATTAGGGGAAGGAAATTAAGTTTTGATCTTTTCGATTCAAATTATTGTTATTCTTTTCAATCTAGATTAAGAAGAAAAACAGCGTATTATTTAGGAATCATAAACAATAATTGAATTCGACAGAAAGTTGTGTGGAACGTATAATTTCGCTACGAGGATTTAATCAATTTTTGTTGTTAAATTCTAAATCGAAAGAAAGATATCCAATCATGTTAATCAATCTTGTTCTATATTTATATCGATTCAATTACAGATGAATTGGGCCTGGAGCAGGAGGTAGCTAAAGTCACGGCCAAAATAACAAAAGATAGAAAAAAAAAAACAACTATTCATTTCAATTTGTGTAAAATAACCGTTAGAAAGCACGCAGCACGCACGGCTGACGCCGGCTTCTCTGGCCATCCGTCTTTATGACTTTTTGCATTATAATGCAACCATTGTCGTGACTCAGCATTTTAATACATTGTAAACATAACCAAATTATGTTCGCGTGCCGATGCTCGTTCCTTTTTATCGCAAATTAAATTTTGACTTCATCTAGTTTTTATTAGATTTTTATTAAATTAGTTAGCCATATTTTCAATTCAGTTTTTAATAGGAAATATGGACATACAACGGTTCGAAAGCGGGAAAATACTCGTACATTATATTCGAGGTGCTGTAGTATTGTGAACCGTGCCGCCACCGCCGGCGATGTTAATCTTAATGCGATGACTCTACATTCACGTAATAGAGTAGCCGGTATGCAAGCTATGGGAGAGCTGTGCCATTATTTTTCATACGGCCGTTCTTCGCTATTAAACTTTAGCTATTTCTTATTTTAATATCGCATAACATTGTTTTAATAGTTCTATTGCATACAGACTATTTACTTACAGACCTATAGCTAACAATTATTTCTACATTTATAGATGGATATTACTTGAACATGACTTATGCATTTATAAACACACTAGTACTGATCCTACTAATTAACTGTACCTACTAAAAATACTCTTTTAAATATTGAATTACCACTAGCGTGACTCATTTTCATATCATACTAGCTGTTGCCCGCGACTCCGTTTGCTCGGAATTAAAACTACTTAAATGTTTAGTAAGCCATAAACTCCTTAAAACTATTTATTTAATATAGTTTTTTTTGTAAGTTCATAGTAGGTTAATAAAATATGTACTTTGTGAAGATATATTCATTCTACTTATAACTATGCAAAAAGTTAAAAAAAAAACATATATCTATAAACTATGCCAGATAAGCGTTGACTGTACTCGTCGCTTCTTTTGATGTACAGAACTGGAAGAATTTAAAAACAAAATGGCGGTATTCGTACATAGCTCAATACTACACGTAAATATCTGCAAACGCATCAGTAAGACGTAGTTACCGTTTAAAAAAAACACAATTTCAAATCTGATAATCAAGCTGAAACTTTTATTATAAAGTCAAGTTCCCACGAAGAAGAGATGAGAATTTATTTTAATTCTAGCAACACCGTAGCACAATTAGCTTCCATTGAAAATTGCGGTGCAATAACCATAATTATTCAGATGTATATCAGTTACCAATTTTATGAATCACAATACAAAAGTTGTGAGTAGTTAAGCGTGTAAAACAAGCAATTTGAGTAGAACAGGAGCTTGGTTAACATCTATTTAACCAGTGCAGAGCTGGCAATCTTTTTGAATTTTAATTTAACATCTATTTCATCCGAAGCATGTTTTGTCATTACATCCATTATCACAAATTTACAGTCATTTTTTTAACACGTTGCTAAGCTAATATGTGCATAAAATGTTTAATTGTCCATAAACTATATTTTGTTAAAATATTGTTTCTAATCACCCCTAACGTAGGGTAGATTCCGAGTCTCTCGATGGGGACGTTTAGTGAGCTGTACGTCCTAAGAAATTGCCGCAAAATCAATCCATTACACCAAAATAGTTTTTATATAGATATTTTTGACCGTTAGAAAGCAATAGATTTTCTTTTGTTGAAAACCAATATGTTCATTACTATCTCATTTCCACAACTTAAGATATAGATTCCCGTTACACGTGACCACCGACGATGTTAATTAAGTAACTAATACATAGGGAATGTAAACGCTTATCTGTATTCATATATTCATGTCTTGTATGTATGTTATAAATAATCTTTGTACCTAATTAAGATGCCTTTAATGGCAACACCTTTAATACGTTATTATTGATTGCTAATATAAACTTAAACAGCTGATTAAAGTAAGAAATATGCTACTTTTTCATCAACCTATATAAAACTATTTATTATTTATTTACTATTTTGAACCTTATGCAATTAAAATATTAGAGACTGTACGCATCTTCTGTGAAAACTTTTATTAAATGCAAACTGCTAGATATTATAGAAAATATATACAAATCTCCACCTTTTATTTCCTACAAAAATCGATTCATTGACATCATCTTTTAAATTCCATTGATCGGAAATAATAACCTAAAGCATATTACGTCCGCCTATAATAAATGTTTACATATAAAATTAATTAAATGTAAAATAGTGATTTAATAAAGACTATTTAACTGTACCACTTGCGTAGAGGAAATTAAACTAGTCGTTGCATTTCTCGCCACCGGAGTGCTTTAACATCGAGACAGTATCTCTAAGTAACTGTAAACTGTTGACTTGATAGCTTTTGCGACAAAAACATCGCTGCATAGCGTATGCTTGCATAATATTGATGCAACACAACGATGCTATCTAATAACAATAAAATTACTACTCCATTCTTAACATTTCTATTTGAAGTAAGCTAAAGAGAAACAATTATTATTATATTTAATTATTTAACTATTTCTTTTACTTCGATTTATTTCGAATATTTCAAACAAAAGAATGGGAATAACATAAACTTTTGATTATGTTTTTGAAAAATATATACAACTATTCGAAAATTAGAATGTTATGGATATGTTAGATATCAAACTCTCTTCTAACGAGACGACCCAAGCCCAAACTCAATAAAGTTTGGGCTTTTGGTTGAATCGACCTGACGAGTATTTTGTATGATTTAAGTTTTAATTCTTGTAATTAACATTACATGTGCAATAATAAGTGTTTTTTTTGAGCTATTTTCAAGTATCGGTATCTTTTATTATTTTTGGTTTAGGTCTTAGCTAACTAGTCTGCTTATTACTGTCTTATTAGCTTCCGTATGCTACACCATATACAGTGACGTCTAGGTTTACTGTATGTTCTTAGAATGAACACTAATACACATTTCATTCACGTATAAGCTCGTACAAAGAACCATCCGGATTTCGCGTGTTAAAAATATTAAACACTAAGTTCGTGCCCAATTTAATAATAAAAAAGCTTACATTAAGAACTTCTGATTAATATTTCTTTTTATTTCTAAAGCAATAAAGATTTTGGTTTTAACATAAAAATAAAAAATCCTGAAAAGACAAAGCAGTTACTTTTACTTAGCTTTTAAAAGTAGAGCGTAAAAACTTTTTTACAATACTAAAACAAAAGTATTAAAAGTGTGCCTACCACATAACGGGGTTGGATTGTAACAAATTATTTTAAAGCTGTAAAACGTACACAAGAAATATTTTAAGCTTTAAATCGTATTTTATTAATTTAGTCATAAATGTTAAATTATCAATGCATAAAAAACTTTACTATCTTACGTAAAATATAAATTTTAACCAAAATTACAGCATTAAAAACAGTTGAAAGTTGGATATAATAAAAACATTTGAGAATAATCAACTTTTTATCAATGTTTTATTTCAGTCATAACACAACTCGCACGTTTTTAGTCTGTGGCGCTACAATCATATGAAGCAATAATCAAGTTTAAATTAAACTCTATATTATTTCTCCATTATTCACATCATTCGCTCTTTGAAGTATAAGTTTATAATCTAAAAGAGCGTACAATGTTTTTTGTATCGAACTAAAGTCATTAAAACTCACGTAAGGTTATTTTTAGAACATAAGTGTCATCACGATGTCCATTTTCATTTTATCCTGTCGCAACCATAACGTTTTTAAATATAAAACGTCCTTGCAACTCAGTTAAAAAACAATCTTGTGATTTTATATTTTTATATATAATTCGCCGCGACCTCGTCCGTTTGTACATTAAAAAAATTCAACAAACCTTTTTATATAAGCACACCTATATAATATAAAAAAGAAACAAAAAGAAACGTTTTATGTACATTTCTAAAATGTTCCCGCGAAAACTTCAGACCTTGGGAGATTAACCTCTGTATATTAGAAGTCGAACGATTATAAATGTCCGTCCAATTCAACAATTATTAATGGAAATGATTGTCTAATTAATTTTTAATTCTAGTACGGCATAGAATACTTGTTAATAATTTCCTTCTGCAAATAAAAATTACGCTTCATTCAACTTGTCATCTAAGGGCACAATAATGATGTACCATCGATCAAAGGATTCCAGTTTTTAGAGTGCATTAAGTAACCGAGTGTGCAAACAAAGAATGAACAAATAGAGTGTAATTATAGTCACGTCACTGGTAATAGAGCTGTCCATTTTAAATTTCGAACAGCTGCAATAAATTCCGAGCACTGCATGGAATATGCACTCATAAAACCTCGTCAAACAAACTGAATATACTTTCAAATCGAGTTGATGGGTCGTTTATAGAGACATAGAAAAAGTTTTTGTTTCAGACACGCCCTTAGGTAAATTACTAAGGTTTGTATAGCTTTTTACACTTACATTTTACTTCCTGACAAACTTCCTACATACAAATGAAATGTTCCAGCAGATTATACCATTTTCCATTCTATCGTTATTTTTGTGAATTTTCTTTTAATTATAAAATTATTTATGACATAAATAATTGATTAATAGTACTCACTTTCGCAGTAATTCTCGAAGTATTTCCCCGTAGGTTCACCGTCATCTATCAGCGGTCTCTCACCGTTCAGGTAAGCAGATGGTCCATCAGGTAACGTGTGATGATCAAGATGGTACAGTCTGCAGTTGTAGGCAGACGAATGAGGTGCACCAAGGTACAAGAAGGAACGGCAGAGGAACTCTGATTCAATCTCGCAAGCTAACCGGCAAGCTGCCTCTGACGTCACCTGTGTAAAATATTGATTTTATTATTCCTGTAGGTAATAATTTAATGCTATGGTTATAAGAGCAACTTTGCAAATTAGATCTATAACTGGCCACCTGTAGTCTTTAAAAAAAAAGAATCATTTTTAAAATTAGCATTTTTATGGACTTATAGTAATTATAAGATTTTTTCAATACAAATAATGAAAAGAAGCATATCATTAAATATTTCTACCAGACCAAAGTAGGTTACATTACAATCACACGTTATTATGCAAAATGTATCTTATGACGATGCAATTATTTCTTCGATATAAAAGAAAAACGAATCCCTTTCCGTCTACGTTACAAATGTAATGCAACATCCAGTCAGTCCACTGTGATATTTGAAAAAAAGTGCATCATATCTTTATTAATTGCATGTCCATCTCTATACTGCAATATAGGGTTGAGATAAAGACAATTCTAAATCATCTTTTCTAAAAACTTTTTTGGTAAAAATTTTAGAAGAAATTTTATTCCAATTATCGAATGTAATCTTATTTAACAATAATAGTATCTCTTAATCAGTTGTTTTATGGATTAAAAACCCTTATTATGTCTAGTCGTCTAACCATATTTATTTATTTTTTAAAGAAAATAACCAACAGCGTATTAAAGCAAATCATTTTAATTAAACCAACTCGTATTTTAATTTAATAATGTAAAATTAGTATTTGTCCTGTATTTTTAATAGTGATGCCAAGTTACAGATAAAAATATACACACATTTTCACTAATTTCATATCATATTGGCAACCCTGGATAAAACGTTTAAATTTCTTAGATACATACCTGTAATTCCTTGTCGGTGTAATAATGCAGGCCGGCGTACTGTGCCACTTTGTCCTCGGCGACTCCCACGCGAGGGACGGTGAATACCCTCGACCCTTTACACGCCTGCGACCCCTTAAGGCACAAGTTCTGAACAGAGAAGTAATAGGTTAGTGGATAAAACTATTGGAACGAACAGAAAGTTGCAATAAATTTATCCAATTCGTATCAGGTGATCCTGCGTCATCAAGTAATGCTCACTCAAGTACGACTCACGAAATGCGCGTTTTATTGTATGTTACGTATTTTTGTACAAAATATTTGAGAATAACGGTCTTGTTGTCAGAATGAACAAAACAAAAACAAGTAACGAAAGTACAACCGCACCTCGAATAACGTACCAACAATTTTTTCAACGGATTGATCTCAATTGATAAAAGCTATTAAACTACAAAAAAATTAGACAAAGATTAAATGAAGCGAAAAATGGAACTATAACGTTAACGTTTTTCTCATTGGACTAGGACTTAAGCGACAATAATAAGTGATTCAAATCGTACTGGTCAATTTTTTACAATCATTCTGTGTCCATGTCGTTTATGACAAGGAATTTTTTGACCCTACTAGAATTTATTCATTCACCTTATTTCTTTTTTTGACCATTTATTATTTCCAGTAATAATAATTTGGTTTTATGTAACGTTTATTATTAGTGCATATTTCAATTTATTTCTAAACTTGAATTTGTATACATATATTTCTGCAAGATCGTTTTCGTCATTTCAATCTTAGCAAAAACATTAACAATAAATAGTCAGATTAACTAAATTCCTTTAAAAAACTTGTGATACTACATAAAATGTTATAATAAATACTTACTTCGAAGTAGTCTGTGCCAGGGGTATCGACGAGCTGCACAAAGTGCTGGGCAGTCCGTCTGTCGGAGTCACTGAGAGCGCAGCGCATGCTGCCGTATTCATACTCCGCGGACCGGCACGGGAAACGTTTCTAAACAATGCCCATATGTTAATAGAAATTTCTAGAAATGTTGTCTTCCAGATATAAATTATCTGCAAGATTTTTTATCAAAATTTTCCGTTACATCATTATGTTCCCAACATGAAAATAAAGAAATGAAAGACAGACTCTATCAAAGGAACATGAGGTTATTCAGGCATATGCTAAGATGTTTTAAAGAACAATTAACAAAACGAGATGTAAATAAGATACTGACATGAATGTTTTAATTTCTTATATATAACAATCACCAACTTTCTAAAGATTTTTAAACATTTATAGCCAATTAAGCAAAGAATTCAACTAAAGCTCTACCAACGCTTTACGTAAACAAGCTATTATCGTCTGTATATCTCGAAAGCTACTTGAAGTGGGACAGAACCATAAAATATAATTGAATAGATAGCTAGAGAATTAAATGCACTGGACGAGCTTCGATGGTAGAAAGACGTAAATCGCAATTGCTATCTAATTCTTGGCTCAGACACGAAAGTCAAGCAATTTCCTCAAAGTGGAGTGATTACCTCGTTGAGACAGGCGGCGAGGCAGGCCTCCTTCGTAGAGGTGTAGATAATAGTATTGTCCAGACCTCGCAGCGCCTTGCCGGGCACTCGCTCGAACGCCCACGGGCGTAGGCACACACTCTCCGTCCTAACTTGCAGCTTCACCATGTAATACGTATTCACTGCACGCTACAACAATAAAATCAAAATGAATAAGCAAATAACATCCAAGTTTATTTATGGAACTTTGTCATTATCGTCTTAGTTTAGTTTTATTTGTGAGTTAATGCATTGGTCGTGAGACGCAGAGGTACGCTGTATTTATCGCAAGTGCTTATTAGATGTCATAGCGATTAGGCTATCCTTTTTCAAACTGTTATAGCAAGCTAGTCTCTATCGGGTCGATTTCCCCTTAGGCTTGCGACCGATATAATCTACATTGCTAATCCGATCTTGACATCGGACTAATTGGCGGTAGAAATGCTCAGTAGCCGACTATCTATAAACGTCAGATTATAAATTAATAACTTTTAAAGAAGATTAGTGTGATTTAACGTTACTTTTAACTATGTGAATGTTATGTTAACAGTAGTTTAACTCTACAAAATTCTAAATCTAACATATCTAAATAATTGAAATAATCAACGTGAGAATTGGGTACATGAGCTCTAAAATTTTAAACAATAGTGTGATAATAATCACAATGAACTTACCTGTGGAGTGGCCATAGGATTGTTCGCTTGTGTGTCATTTTGGAGCAAACAAAGTGTTTCTTGCACTGGCGTAAGTGGGTTGAGTACGAAACTGCAACAAAAATATTATTAATTAACTTTAAGATATAAAAGAATAGATTGACTACGACCTAGCAAGCATACTATTGTCTTGACTCTACTATTGTATATCAAAATGCATACTAAATAATCTCTCAGAATTATAAAACTCTTACTGTGGCTATCGACAACTATATTTGTATTAATACATGATGTGGTCTTTTTTGTCAAACAGAATGACAAGGGTGACAATATGTTCAATAAAAAAATCAGGACAGTAAGTAACACTAAAGAAATGTTTAATGAACAACAGTATCGAAGGCTTTTAAACGTTTACTAGATTGTACAGTGTGCGTCGCGAATTTCAGTTTTGAGTATAATAAATTCAAATCTATAAACAGTAGTACATTTAAATACTAAGAACGTGATGATAAGCCGATGTCAATGTCGCGCTGTGGCGTCTGCATTTATTTTGTAATGACACAGCACAGACACTGCGCGTTACACTTTACAAGTTGCAGCCGCATAACGGAGCCCGTTTACCGTTCCTAACGCCAGATATTTCCTATTTTATTCTAATCCAACAACATAAACTAGGCTTATAAATATTTATGATCATCTTTATTTGGGCTTTTAGAAAATGTGTAGAAGTTTTTGATGTCATCGCGTGGGCCTCGTGTATTACCACGTTCGTTGCTTTAATATGCTTGGACAGATTTTGGCATATTTTATTTACATTAATAGGCTACGAAAATTGCTTACCGTGAAAACTTGAAAATCAATTGTAATTTCCTTTGTCATTTTAAAATTTCACCGTTATTTAATTACCAACAATTTCAAAATATTCTGAATTAAGACTTATCGAGATATTATTTATCGCTTAATATATATAGCTATTAAATACGGTTAAAATGCAGAACCCAAAAAAAAACTTTTACAGTAAGAGATTATTTAAAAACTATTTATAGAACAATAAAAAAATATATTTCACTTTCTTCGGATAGCTCAAGTAAGCTAAGATCATTAATTATTTCATAAAATATCCACAATTTCTTAGAATTTAATTCTAATTTCACTCATAAATTATAAGCAAGGTCAAATGTCACTGTAAGCCTTGTCAAGAATTTTTATTAATATTGTAAAGAAATAGTCTCTATGCACATTGATGTATTTACTGCTGATAAGGGGGCCTTTATCTACTCGTATAGTGGAACTACAGTAACATAATATATCCAGTTACTTAGTAACATGCAATCTTCTATGTATATTAGACCTACTATTGATGAAGTTAGTTATTATAGTAAACTTATTATTCAGCGAGATATTTTCGTTAATAATCTACATAAAATGAATAATTTCTTATATTATATTCTATTATTACTTTTATAAGCAATTCTACTAGTTACAATAGTTGCCATTAGCAAAGCATGTCTATGACATCCTGGCTGTATAGTTTTATTTTATTTTTCTTAAATTAACCTCTAATTTCTTTTTATTAGCATTGCTCTATAAAAACTTCCGTAATTAGATGTTTTAAGGAAGTAATTATTACTGTTATTTGAATGTACACGTAATTACTTTAGCTAATACTTTACTCATCCTGTTATGTTAACGTAATCTTGAATAACGAAGAAAATACATACATATTTACTAGAATACTTTCTACCGTCAATAGTTTGCTTTAAAGTTAATTATATCGACCTCACATCAATTTTAATACTATTGTTCGTATTATAATGTGTCCAGGGGTCGCTCCTCTTTATTCAGTTATCTGTCTCTTTTTTATTTTATTTTTTTAATTAAAATACTAGCAGATTTTTGTTAATTTACTAATATTTCTTCTACCATTCAAAGTATGCTTTAGGCTTGTGATAAGACATGGGTTATAACAATAGTCGAATGGCGAAATTCGAACTCTTGACTACGTGATCGGAAATCCTTACTGTTAACCGTTAGACTATTGGTGTCTATTTATCTAATATTGTCCTCGGTTCTACATAAATGCTTAGAACTCTTTCTCTATGACTATAATTTAATCCTTCTTTCTCACGTAAAAAGCACAATATCATTAAACAAAGAAATTCTTTGGATTGTCTTAACCTTTTCAATGCATGTGAATAACTATCTATTGCTATTAAAATTCCGGAATAGTGGTGAGTTTACGATTACTGGGTGATAATTATCTTAAAGGCGACGGAGTTAATTACTCGTATGTCCTCTTGTAATAACTTCGAGACGTTTACGGCTTGGCTCAGCAACGCAGCTATAAATGCGTCATTTGCTATCGCCTATTGAGAACGGCGATAGTTCGCATAAAACAACCGTTACTATGAGCTTTAATTACGCTGAACGGCTTATGTAATGTTTATGTTATAAATGCCAAGTCAAAAATAATAAAAGCTAGGAGACTATCAATAGTAAGTAAACCAATAATTTATTTATTTTACTTGTACCTAAAGTAATACTTGATTTGTTTGATTCAATGAAAGTATGCGTTATAGGAATTAAACGATAGCTAAAATTACTACACTATTTCTTGACATAATCTTATATACAAAATTCTCATATCACAATGTTAGTTACTATACTCTTCTGAAACGACTTGACCGATTTTTATGAAATTTTATATACAATTAGTAGGTCTGAGAATCGGCTACTATTTATTTTTTTATCCCGCGCGGATGGACTCGCAGGCGACAGCTATAAAATGCATAGCAAAATGTATAGTTTAGTGTTTTAATTTAAATAAATCAAACTTGCGGGATACATTAAGTAGACAGCGACATCTGCTTTAAATTTGGGTCAATGTCGAACAGCTAGAAATATACACACAAAGAATTTATGATTAATGCTCAAAGGGCTCTAACTAATGACATCGATTTTACAAGTTTCGTAACTGGCATAATAAATCTTTCGAACCGTGTTGTTGTTAGCAATATTAAAAGAAAGCGCCTACTGTACTGAGCCACTCGAAAATTAACTGAAGATAAATGTACTAGTAAACTCGAAAATGTGCTCGTTTTAAAATATTTACTCACAACAATTAATCATTTCTTGGAAACGAAGTTGTATGATCACGATTTGTACTTTTTAAGATACTATAATATTTACATGATATAAGTTTTTTTTTGTTTTTAAATGTTGTCTAACTGGCTGATTGTTAAAATTAAAAATAATTTCAAATTTATGAATCTAAATTGTAAAAGGAACGCTCTAAATAGATAGACATATCCATTTATATTTATATCAGCACCCTATATTGTGTTACTTTCACGACTTTAAGATATCTATGGTTTTCTAAGAAACTTAAACAACGTTGCATCATATTAAAAGACGAATAAGTAATTTACTAGAAAAAACAATCTTAGTGCGACTACCATTAAAATAGGATATAATTTAAAAAGAAACACGTACATGCAACAGGCTGTGCGTTAACAGTAAAAACAATTGCCTGCGCTTTGAGTTCCGCTAAACATTTCACTGAGCTATCGATCACTAATCAAAACTAAAGACCGCGCTTTACCGACAGATTCTATCTCGTTTAACTTTGCATGCGATCGACGAATGAAATAATAGCTCGTTATTGATTGTTCAGCAGTATTATTAACTATGAATATATTAGATCTATAATCAATGATCCATTCATGATTAAAACGCATTGATCGATTAAAAGCGGTTGGTAGTAAAAGAGGTTTAATAGTTTTCACATATATTTGCAAACTTTAGTTACCTATAAACTGAGGGTCCTCAAGAGAATAATGATAGTTGAATGACAGGTTCAAAGCCATGGCAATGTATTATAAATTAAAAAAATTATACGTCCTATTTTAGTATTAATTACTATTGTTTAGTGACCTTAGTAATTTGTTTGCTCTTTATTCATAGAAGTCTTTTAAGGAATTTAACATCTGCTCTCTATTGTTTGTGCATCGGCAAAACTCAAAGGTTTACGTCTAAACAGCGAGTTTAAGTTTATTTATAGCTTGACAAGTTAATAAAGTGCAACTGTATTATATCGTTTAAGAAAACAGAGGGCCTAGCGCAAATGTTAGTGAAAACGTTTTCGTAACGTTAACGACAATAAATACACCAACAAATCTCATACAAATTTTGTCGATGACGTTACGATGGTGAGTGTAGCAAATATTCTTGGTAGGACCCTAAAACCTAATTTACGTTACATAAATTCGATTAAAAGTAAGTTATATATTTGTAATCAAAAAGTTGTGTATTTCTGATTTTTTTGTAGATTAAATTGCTTAAATTGCCGCTTCTTTTTATAGATAAAAGAAATTGTTTTTAATTTAATAGTCTGTATTAAAAAGTATCTAAAAAAACTGTACCCAATAGACTTGAACCCAATAATTTCAATCGTGTCCGATCAATTCCTCTGTCAGCTCACTCTTTCTTTGAACAGATTGATTTGCGATATGCCGAATACAATGCTAAATTAGAAATACGGGATAGTTGCCTTCCGTTTATTGAATATCTGTCTATTACAAAGACAATATCGAACTGATTTTAAATCGATACAGACATGATGATAAAAAATTTTCAAAGTTCTGTTATTTGCCTTAGTTTCGATGGATTCCATTTAATTAATACTTGCAATTATTGACCCTACAAGTTTTAGTAGAATCAGGAAAATATAAAAAAGTTTGATAGTAAATTTATTGAAAGACGAGTAACAAATCTTACGTCTTATTATAATAATATTATAAATGCGAATGTTTAGATGGATGTATGTTTGTTAGAAGGTATTTCCAGAACAAATATATTCAGAATATTTCCATAATGAGAGCGTCGGTGGCTCAGGGGTCAAGCACTTGACTTGTAATCTGCAGGTCCTGGGTTCGAATCGTTCGAATGTGTTTTTCGATTTCCGATTTTACATATGTACATTTATCCGACGTTCTTACGGTGAAGGAAAACATCGTGATGCAACCTGCACATATCTGAAAAGAAATTCAAAGATACGTGTGAAGTCAACCAACCTGCACTAGGCCAGCGTGGTTGACTATGGCCTAATCACCCTTAACTTAGGGTAGGCTCCGAGCCCCTCGGTGGGGACGTATAGTGAGCTGATGATGAATAACATTTTCACGGCTCAATGGATCTCAGTGAAATTTGGCATAAATGTACTGCTAATTAAGTATACTTTAATTATGCAAAGACGCAATCGCGGGCGACATCTAGTCTTATAATAAAGTTCATTCGATTTCAAAGAAATAATACTTTTGTAACAAGATAATAAAACTATTCATTTATCCATTACGATTTCATCTTCGATCATAAAGAGCGTCAGTTGTTTTAAAACCAGAATTGCAATGTTAAAAGGATACAGAACAAAAATAGATTGTTATGTCTTAATCCAATTTTATCGCATACTTATGTTTAATTCATGACAAGCTGCAATGCGTTCTCGCACACTCATGCAATACTCATGGCATATATCAAATGAAGTATCAGAACAATTTCGTTTAATTTGTAACATAAATAACTATGACTAGAACCTGTCAACGACATATATTTAATATTGTGAAGTGAGAAAAAATGAATGCGTAAAATCTCGTTAAAGAAATGTCTTATGACTTATGACATAAGTTAAATGCCTTTTACATTTACAATCTTTTTTTAATTATATAGTTTATTCCTTGTATCTTATAAGTTACTTGACCCACAAAATCAGACAAATGTTGCGTTCATTACTTATGGGCTTTGACAACTTTGATTTCTAAAGCTATTGAGGTCTACAAAATCAAACAGAACTATTTAGTTATTAATAGAAATCGTTGATTGAAACATTAAACTAAGTGTTCAAAGAAAACCGCCAATCGTCACAATATCCATGAGTCGGCTTACAAGTAGTTTGCCGGCAATAATCTATTGAAAACGTATGCGATCACTTTTACTGTTATCCAATTTGGAGCGCATCGAGATTGGTTTCCGCTTTTACACGGATTGTGGCGAGCGGTTCTTTGGTGTATTGTTATTAACCAACACCGTGACATTGAAACGTTTGAACCGCACGTGTGGCAAACTAACACATATTCCAAAACAATATTAGTTCCAACTATCGCCAAACTTTCGAGAATATACCAAGCTGTTGTGACAACAGGGCAACCTAGTTCAGGAGCCAAGGCTCCAACGTATTATATATAAACAAGTGTCCAAATAAATCTTTTATTTATTAAATCTTAAAATAAAATCTTAAATAAAAAAAAAGTTACAAAGTTCACGTCAAAGAAATTAGTGATTCAAGTCAATCTGATTTTCTTATCTGTGACATTTAGGTCATGAGCATCGTGATTTGAGATTACTTCGATACGTTCATCTTTATTATTTTCACGATCAGTCATTGATGATGACGAGTCATGCTTTCGATTAGACATTCTATTTTGCAAATGATTGCTGATTATAACAAAGTCCGTTATTGTTTTAAATCAATCTATTGAGCTGAATAAAAAAGAAGTTTTTGAAGCCAATTAAATCTTAAGTAGAATGAGTTAAGTTTCAATAAACATAACATTATATAGTTAATCATTATACTATAAATTATGTGGTAGGAAAAGATGTTATTAAATACCTAAAGGCTGCTGCTTGACAATCATTCTCCTCTCTACACCAGCCCTGACACTCGTACAATGAAAGGTTGCGTACTGTGTAATACGAAGTGCCCACAAAGTCAACATCTGTCAGTTTTTCAAACGCGATTCGACCTGAAAGAAAAGTTATTTTGGTTATCTACCTATATGTACATTAAAGGAAACTGCATTATATTTGTAAGTCAATCGTAAATCTGTTAAAGTAATAGGCCTATGACCAATAGACCTGGCATCCTGTATAGGCATTATGACATAGGACTTTGGATTCCTTGGTCATTTCCCTGATAAGAAATGCGTACGTGTGGACAACAGCTAGTTTCTATGGCTTTAATATTACTAAAAATAATTATATAATTTAATCTTGTCTTGTTGTTTTCTTGGTTAATATTAAAAATCATTACTTTTATTTTTATTTATATTCCTATATTCGATGCTACTTAAAAAAATAAAGACAAACAAAACTAATAAAAAGATAAGATAGTAGTTTCTGAACCTCTGAGTTTGTAATTTATTATAATTACATTAATACTTACTGACTACAGATGTCGCTTGCAGAAGTAAAAGCGCTAAAGGCGCTACGCCCAGCGCCTTGGCAACCATATTGACGAAGATTCAACTGAAACAAAAAATCATAGTTAGTTTCTATTACCAATTTATTTTTAAATGGACTTAATGGTGTCGGGGTGTATCTACAAAACATCGAAATAAAAAAACAAAAGACGGTAAAAGAGATAAAAAAAACATTTGTTCCAATTTCGTATTTAATTAAATGTTTTAGTAATCGATAGTTAAGTTGCAGTACGAATCCAATGATGTAAAGATGAAATTCACTATTCTTAATAAAGTCTTTCTTTTAACCTTGAATATTCGCAAATCATGTGAATGGTATTCAGGTCAAGAGCAACGCATGCATCCACGAAAGTCAACAGGAAAGCCGACGAACAGCGTTTTCATTTAGTATCTGAATTGCGATATTGCTTTCACTGGCCTTTTGATCAACTTGATGAATGAACTTTTTAAAACGTGAAAGTAAAACGATTGTTGTACCACACTTTACGCAGAGAACGGCTAAATTCATTCTTTAGCATGTTTAATGAATCGGACGGACAGCTTTCGATCGCTTTGTTGAGTACTGCTCGGTTTAACAGGTCCATTAAATATACCAATTCAGTCCTCGAGAACTAAATGTAATAAAGTTTTTTCTTATAAACTTAATTCGATGCTATCAAAGAACAGAAAGCTGCGTTTTTATTTGCGTAATTTTAAAAATAAAACTAATTGCACTTTAAGGCGTACCGCTATTTAAATTTGGGGTACTTTCTCGAAAGACACCATTTCATTGAAAAGTTTCCAAATTCCGGTTTCGTATCGATACAAATATAAGTTTATGATCAATATTATATCTGTTGTTACACTTAAAATTATTAAGATTCATAAAAGCTTTAGAAATAAGAAACAAGTGGCGATATGCTCGGATAACCCATATAAAGGCACCGTTTCAACGGTCGTATATAAACGCATAAACTATTATGAGGCATGAGTCTTAAAATTTCGCGGAAGAAGGCGTCATTGAAGCAAAGTTTTTTCTCTAACGAACCGCAAACACTTTTACGGTTTATGGTAACGATCGTTCGGAACACATGACATGGTAACATACAAAAATACCCATGAAATGATAATAAAATGCGCACGCGCAGACATATCTATGTCTGACCGTTGCTAAAATTCGTATAAAGTTTACACGAATTAACGGTAATTTCGTTTGTTGATACAACAACAAAAGAAATTAGGAGAACTGTTACTTCGCCTATAAGTCTCGACACAATGGGCACCTCAGCCCAGATGCCTTCGCAGCGGAACCTTACGATCAATTTGAAATGACCTAAAAAGGTAAATTTTTGGTGTCTGTGCTTCAGTACGTGACGTGACCCATTTTTTTTTTATAAATCGGTTGATTTGCTAAATGTCTTCCTGTTCATTAATATAACTTTAGTTAAAAACCTTGCCCGGTCACTTACACTTAGTCCAAATATCTTCTTATGTTATCTTTTTAGTAAAATCAATTTTTAAAAAAGCTCCAAAAGGACCAAAGTCATTTTCTCGTTTGCCACCTTGTAATATATCTGTATAATGTGTTAAGGGTAAAAATCAAGTATGAGGAGACGTATTACAATAAAGTCCTTTTTGTGTGAACCATGAAGTAAAATCCTATGTCCGTTTAAAAAATATATATATAACATATAAAAAAAGATTAACGACCGACGTAGTGTACGTAGAAATGAAATGACAACAACTACGCTTACGGAAACATACTTTGGTGTTACCGAAGCGGGAAGGCCGCAACTATGTGTAATTATTCTAAGGTGACGTATTTTTATATCGCATAATAATAGTAACAGTTAAATAAGAGGCACCGGAGCGCACCGCTGCAGCCACCGTATGGTCACAACACCATGACCTCGTAAATTGCCCAATTTAACGGTGTAACCGACTTTATAGGAATCTTTCGCGTTTTATGTATTCCTTTATATTTAATCTGCTCATGCTCTGATCAATGTAGGAAGGGTTGTATAAGAAAACGGAAATATTATTTTTCTGTACTCCCTCTCCACTGACCTTCCAGGCAGGCCAAACAGGCAACGGATCTGCAAACTATTCACTTAGCTATTTTAGTGATTTTAGACGGTAAAAAACTGCATCAGGCACATTTGATATTAAGAAAAAAACAATTTTCATTGATACGAAATAATATAGGTCAATAGGAAAATACAAAAGTTAGTGAGCTAATATTAAAAATGATTCCCGATAATTTTTTTTGAATTTCCTTTGTATAACCAATGGATACATTTAATAGATTATAACCTCGCAGCAGGAGATCAAAGCGTGCCGCCGTCGACCTAACGAGGCGCCGGCGTCATGATGATTGCGAGTAACTATTCAATAATTGGCATATGTAAGGCTGATCGAAGACGTCATTATCTGAGCAACTTTGATTTTCTTATTGATGGCGAATTGCATAGAAACAAGTTTTCTTCAACGTGCCGGTTTTTTTTTCTCTCTTAGAAAATAATACATACTTAATTTTGTTCCGAAGCATAAAGCGAGAGCAATCAACTTCAATGAAGTTTATACATAAAATCTTTACTTTGTACTTTGTTAAAAATATTTCTGTCATAATACGCTGATAACACTTTTACGTAGAAATACGTTCGTGATATTTGGTAGTGTTTATTCATAAATCTAGAATTTAAAGTACATATCTCAAGATTTAAAATCTGAAATTACAATGGGTAACGATTCTATTTTCCCAACCATACGCTTTTGTCCCACAGTTTTATTTACAATCTAATCTCGTCCCAAATATAGTGGTTTTCATAAAGACAGTTGATTCGGTTGCAATTTGAAATTATTTATTCATGAATAACATCTTTTATTCAGGCAAAAAATCGTAATAACGTTTTAATACTAGTAATTATACATGGTAATTGAAGTAGATAGAGAATAGATTCAAGGGAATTCACAAAGTATTTTCACACGTAAGAAATAGTTGTTCACAAGCCAACTTTACTGGCAACATTGAGATATCCGGTCTCAAATAAGTTATATAAATATTATTTTACTGATAATTCTCGTATTTATTCTTTTTCACACTTGCAAAAATTTAAATTGTTAGTCTATATGAAACTAATTAAAAAAGCCGTAATAGAGACTCGTCATTCGACGAGCTTAAAAGTATGTAATATTAATTTCAGATAATACGAAAATAAACAGCACTTTTTACACTGACTTTCAGTACTAATGATTACACTCGAAAAATATTAACAATTGTATTACACAAAAATTTGAACTACTAAGCAAATATAACTGTTACTTAACCTTAACTTAAGTCTCAGTAGTATATTTTCTTTCACATTAAAACTTAACACCGGAAGTCAAAACAGGTTTCACGCAAATTTCCGGCGATGCATCTTAGTGATTGCATTTCTAATGGACGTTTGTACAAATGGGAATAACCTTATTCACACAGATTATGTAAATGTAACTTAACTTAAATCATTTTAACAGTTGTTTTACACTGCTCTATTATATTTATACAAACATTTGCTATCTCAGTTATTTCTAAAAGAACGAAAGAGATAATAAATAGTTCGGTCATGAATTAAATGGTTAACACAATAAAAGGTAAAAGTATTCATCTTCAAACGGCTTATGGAGCTTAAGGTTTCTTTTTTATTAACACTCGATTAAAAAAATTAAAAGATCACGAATGAATGTCCATTTATTAGACAAATTATAACCTCAATTAATCAGCATGACTGACTTATTTCACTTAACAAGGAACAACGAGACAAGAACCTAGTTATTATTCTTCATTTATGCTCCTTCATGCATAGGTCAAGAAATTAACAATACAGAATTTTTTACAGTAAAAATTCGGCATAATTGTTAGTACACGGTACTTTGAAAAACCTTTTACTTTTTTATATTAATACAAAAGTTATCTGAACGATTTATAAAGAAAATGAACAATAAAATAAAATTTTATATTTTACTGCAACAATTCACTTTAATGGTGGACTTGTTTGCATTTTATTAGAGTTAGAATGTAAATTAGAAGTCAAAACACTTTATAAATAACAATTTTTAGGTCAACGACTTTAATGTTAGTCATCATATAAAAAAACGCATTAATATTATAAAAGTCAAATTAAAGAAATATGTTGGAAATATTATGGCATTTTCAACAAAATATGATACGATATTTTTTAACGCCATCTATTTCCTAGAAAAGAAATTGTTTGATGTCCTAAAATTATAGATATCCAAAAAAAATAATATAAAATTAAACTTTAAAATTTTAAAATTTACAGTTCATATCACAATTTTACAATCAAAAGCGAATAATTTATATTCCATTGTAATTTCAACGTCTATGAGATTATCCGAGGCGCCGCTCGTAAATCCGAATGACACAAGTAGTATAAGCCGAACTTGACCGAACAGTAACGGTAACCACCGACTCCTCAAGACAATACATGTGAGCTGACAGGTTGTTCGGTGCTCAATGCTCGCCTGACCCAATTATCGACACCAACTGGGCCATCTGTGAATACGTGTGAAATACGAACTTTCTACAACGATTTGCGATCTTAAATTGATGATAATTTTATAAAAATTGGAATTAAGATTATACAGTATTTTATTATAAGATAACACGAATGTTTTTTACTTTTATTTTTATGGAGAACATTAAATATGTAACAGTATTATCAGCTCTCTAAAAATAAAATGTTATTCCTCAGTGAAGTTACAACGACAAAATTATTATCATGATCACGCAGTGTGGGTAATTTATTAATGAATTAGCTTTTGCCAGTGAAATTGGTTAAGTTTCCTATGTTTCCTATCAGAAACACATGCAACAATATCTATCCGTACAAATATTCGAATTTAAATATTAGTTAGTTTTATTAACAAACAAATTCACATTTCAATATCATTTATTAATATATGTACAATAACATTTAACATAAAAAGTATGCAATATACTAGTGGTCGCCCGCGACTACGTCCGCGCGGAATTAAAAAAAAAACAAAATTAGTAGCCTATGTTATCTTCCAGACTTTGTTCTATATGTATCCCAAATTTCATAGAGATCCGTATAGCCGTTCTGGAGAAACCTTTAAACAAACATCCATCCATTCACCTAAACATTCGCATTTATAACATTTGTAGGATTGATAGTAATATTCTGAATAAATAGAAAAAATCTCCATATATGAACTCTACAAAGATGAATCTTAACTTTTTCATTGCATTTGTGAGTCGTGACTACAATTTTAAAATGTATTCGATTTTTGCATCCCCTGTTTGCATGTTTGCCGAAGAAAATGGCGTCTTACAATGGAATGTAGAGACAGTGTCGTGCCGCTGTTGCAAAGACATTACACGGTACCTACATTTGAACTGCAAGACTCTGCTGCTATTTACCTCATGTCCTATTGCATTATTAGTTTTAACAATAACTTTTCTTGCTATATGTTTGACCAATAAAAAAAAATTACATAAATAATAGCTAAAGTGTATTAAGTAATAAGTTGAGTGTAATTTGTATCGAATAAAATTTTTAATTATTTTCAAGACAAAGACCTATACAGAATAAGGATAAACCTGTCGTCAAGTAAAATATATTTTGACGATACCATATTTTTTCTTAACCTTACTAGAAATGTATCCAATAATATTTCTTAGAAGCCGTATGTTTCATCCAAACGTACGAGGAACGCTTGCATTCCCTTTGTTTTAACTATCGTTTTTTAGCGTCCTCTATTTGTGTCTTGTTCGCATATCCACGCAAGTCTCTTAAATCTTTAAAGGCTTTGCAATAAATAAGTACATGTTGCTGTTAACAGACGCTGGCTGAACTCTCTTTATGTTTATTCAAACCTATCCCCTGATATAACTTGATAATGTTTTAAATGTAAAAACAAAGTAACTCTTCTTATCGTAAATATTAAAATAAATTATTAAAAGTAACCTATATTCAAGAAAAATATACAGATTTAATAACTGGAACCGTTTCCGAAATAATTTTAATTGAAAATAAATGCATTTTCATATCGCTTATAACATTGTGTTCCAATTTAATATTATTCTTTTCAAACATTAGAAACGTAATAGAAGAGCCCACCCAACATTTTATAACATTTGCAATAACTACATTTGTTATAAAAACAATAATCTACTTCTATTTCTTGAAAATATTGTCGTACTTTCATTTTTATATCTACCGTGAAGATTCACCCCTTTATCAGATTAACACAAGCTGTTTCCAGGAAATACCAGTGGTAATGTACTGAACCATAACGAAATGTGAAATGCTATAGTCGATGCTACGTACAATTTTCTTTGGTCAACTACTGTAGTTACACGAGTACACTGAACAGGGAAACATGCGGTAATGACCGTCATCTGTATTAACTTATTATACGTGAAGGAAGTCAGTCACGCGTACCCTGAGGGATACGGTGGTCAACTACAACGAGTTTATTGCTTCTCTATTTATTCCGCTTTGATTCAACTATATTAATATCACAAAAACCAAGATCTACATCAAGTATTCTGCTTTCTTGATAAATTTTTAGCTTTCAACTTTTTGCAATATTTTTTTTTTGTTTGTCTAACACCAGTTGTCCTTGACTTTATTACGCATTTATTAAAATGTTTTTTTCCACTATTTTTATCTAGCTTTTACTACATTGATAACATAGTCTTTCCAGAACTTTCTTATTCTTAAATAGAAGTAATTCAATATATCAGGCATATAAAATAATTGTTTTATTATTTAGTTATGATTGTGAATTGAATTGTTAAGATGTTTGATATCAATGTGTTAGACTTATTACTGTAAAAGAAAATAGCTCTGAACTTGAACAAATCAGTTACGGTTGTGTAGTAAAACAATTTTCAACCATTTGTTGTATTTACAACGGTTCTTGGAGTATGTCGATTTGCATATTTTGTACTATTTACTTGTTCATTTCATTTCAAAACATGATTGGAATCGATTGTAAACGGCAGAAATTATCTTTAACCCAAGGCGTTGATACATAAACCAGACAGAACACTCTCTGTCACTCCCGCGTACAAAAGTGTAACGTCTCAATAGACCTTTATATATACACAATGCAATCCTATTAACCGAACAACAAGCCAGACCTTGTTAACAAAACAGGTCTATTCAAGTGAAAAGATTTATTTTTCACACGGCATTACCCTGAAAGGATTTTCAAATCAACCAATAGAGTTACATTTTTATGCATTAATAATATATGTATTTTAAAATAACTCATTTAAGTATTTTTATTATCACTAGCAGTCGCCCGCGACTCCATCCTCTCGGAATTAAAGAAAAATCATAACTTTGTGTTTTTCCAGAGTATGTTCTACGTGTATACCAAATTTCATCCGAGATCCGTTCAGCCGTTCTGAAGATACATTCAAACAAACATCCATCCATCCATACATCCATTTAATTTAAACATTCGCAATTAAAATTAAGAAGATTTTCAAGAATTCTAAAATAAAGTGGTTGAGTAAAATCGAAAACATGAAAACTATGTTATGAAGCTTAAAAGCTTCCTATCATTCTATCTCATACAACTTTGATCGAAACAGACTATTGTTGTATAAAACATAGAACATAACATATGCAACTTTTGCACTATTCTCTTTGTTTCATCTAACAATAGGTTCATCTGTAAAATTCCATAAGAAAATTATATAAACATTGAATGGAAGTTATGTTTGCCGCCCACTCAGCCTTCGGCGAGAGTCCTTTTATAGTAAGGAATAAATCATAAAGGGTCCCTATTTTATCTGAACTTCAATGGGTACTTTATTAGAAATAACTTGAAAGGCCAATTTGATTTGTGCGAGTACCACGACTTGAAAATGAATTCAATTGTTATCAAGAAAAAAATTGTAGTAATATTATATGTTCTAATCTTATTGTCGGCTGTAAATAATCTGTATAATATTTAAACATTCATTTTATACGTCAATAAATGCTGTTTCTTATTTACAAAATCAACTGAGTCTATATACTGAAATCTTCGCCATGTTTTTACTTCTCGTTTAAGTGAAAAAATAAAATAAATAACTGGTAAAAATACGAATTTTTTATAATCATCTTACCTCTTCAGATGTGGGCGCAAAGATTTATCCACTCGGGATTTTTCTGTAACAAGGAAACAGAAACAATGTTACTCTATTGAAAATTTAAAAAATAAATTTAACGTATTTCTGTACATATTATAAATGTTAGATTTGTTGTAAAATGATTTGTTTTTAATTTAAGTGTAAAATTTAAAAAGTAGAAAATGTTAAGCACTTGCGTTTTGTAACAATCATTAAATGTTTTAAAAAGTAAAGAACGACACTGTCTGCTCATTGCCATAAAACTATTTTACAAAAGACTAAGGGTCTTCAGCTTACAATGAAGTTACTTTGTTGCTTGTTAGAAAGTTGTGACCATAAATTTTCATGTTCGAACACTAATTCTAACCAGCTAATGACAGTTTGTAGGTAGAGAGAAGCGGCCGCGCTGAGGCCATAAGCCCCGAGATAAACGCCGGTCACGGTACACATCGTAAATACACCCCGCCGATGCTTAGAAGTCTTTTTTCTCTTCGCAACGATCTAAGAAAATGGCGTTAGAACGAGGAACAATATTGTCGGTCGTCGGGCGACCATAGACTAAGGAAAATAAAAGATGGATCGCTTTGAAATGGTTCCTATTGCCTTATGACTCGACCGCTTCCCTTTATCCGTGATCACTTAAGGTGGGGGTGCGGCGGTGCGAGGAGCGAGGGGGGTATGTGCATGACCGCGCAGGGCGCAATGACCTTGTGCGCACATTCCGTCCGCTTTGGAGGGCTCCCGCGGCGCTCCACCTAGCCCAGTCCTAGACGATATTTAGCGATGAAATAACACCTGAGTAATGAACTGTAAGAAATAGCGTATCAATAAATATCGCAAGGATTTTATTTCCGACATGTATCGAGAATATTAATGATGTACAAATAAATACATCCGCTAAAATGTTTAAAAACCAAATTGATTCTACTTCAAGCTCTATGCCATCTCATTTACAAACTTCGTACGATCAAAATATCAAACAACTTCCATGACTCTTTTAAATATCTTGGATATCTTGAATGGATCCATCTTTGTTAATACATAATTAAAAGAACAGCTAACGGATCTGCATGAAATTTAGAACGGTGTCTAAATTCTACGCGGACGGAGTCGGAGACAACATCTAGTATAGAACAAACAAGTATGGAATAATGAAGTAGTTGAGTGCAGTTATTTTGTAGTGAGCAATATTTGTAGTCTGTGCCATCGTTGAAAAGCTTTTACGGCGGGCACTTACGTACTTACGTGCCATTACGCAAGAACACTGCAAATAGGACACAATTTTCGAAATTCAAACAGAGACACGGCGCGCCATCGCAATTGGGTTAATGACCTATAGAATTCTTAGCAGACGCAACCTGAATATACACAAGAATGTACGATATTCCTCATACATTTTCTATAGTACTACTAGACTTTTACTATTTACGACGAATCAGACTTTTGATTCATCTATAGAGTTATAGCATAAGCAGAAAATTTTCCTAAGGTAGAAATAAAAACAGATATGAATTTCAGTACATACACACTATTATAAAAAGCTTAAAAACAATTGTAGACATTTTAAGTTCGTTATTTTGAGATTAATTGCGAATTATGTTTAGTTTTAGAATTTTAATAACAACTAAAATCCTTGACGAATACAAAATAATGTTCTAGAAATAAATAGGTTAAATAACAAAGTAGCGCCTACGCAAGTAACGGACAGAAGCTGAATTATTGGAAACTCGGAGCGAATGTTCAGTAGAATTCCGATTTGGTATTATTCGCTTACCGTGTTTGAGTCACTTAGCACGCAGCGCATTTAACACAAAACGGCACTTTTTTCTATTTCTTTCGACAATAAAATGCGTAGTTAAACACAACTTTGACTAACGACTGAACGCTCGTGACATCGAATAAAAATGATGAACAATATTTTGATATTTACGCATAAAATGTCATAAAAAATAGTTAAAGTACTACTAATTGTATGTGACAAAACATCACGGCATATTCAATTTAATGTTGTGTACTCGTACTTGTGTAAAATATACTCCAAAATTAGCGGCCAAAATAAAATGACGTACTTCAATTCTCAGTTTTTAAATTATTACTGTAATCTGAACCGTTACCTGAATTATTTATATTACCGTAATGTTATAAAACAATCTGCACAGAATAGGTTTACGCTTATCCATGAGAAAGTCTTGATGAAAGCAACTTGAAACAATTAAAAGAAATGAGAATTTCAAATTTCAATTAACATAAAAGAAAGAACAAAGATTATTAGAAAAGAAAGTTCAAATATTTTATCAATGTCAGATGAAAGGAATTCAAATAGAAAACTAAATGATATTAGATACGCTTATATTACATTACCATCTTATATCAATTAGGCAAATAGGTCATTGTTTAATGCAAATAACCTGCACTCTCATTAAAAATATTTAAATTTAAATCTTAAGCAGAGAAGATATTTTTTATAAGAATTAATGAGAAGGTAAATTTTCGTGAATAACTGCGTTAAATAACCCAATAACTTTTTACATATACATACTGTTAAATGAAGAGATTGGGGAGAGAGCAATCATAATAAGATCAATGTCACGTGTATAAAAAGAGTAAATATGTTTTTCAGTTCATCATTCGATTTTTATGGGTTTGATGCCTAGTATAAATAAAATATAATAGACTGATTTATACTAGTGGTCGCCAATTGGTTGAAATTAGAGAATAAATGGTTTAAGATTTAAAAAAGCGTTATGCACTTCTTTTCCACTTTTAACTGTATCAAACTTATTCAATCCGTTAAAGTTCCTTAAAACTGTGTACAAAAATTTCACTTCATGTGAAAACTGAAACATGCTAAGCATTAATACGACATTTTCAATGCCAAACTTTGTTCTTATCTTAATATAATACGCAGTAAATATTCAGTATAACGCAGTGTTGAGATGATATCTTTTGATAAAACACTTTTACGACATTAACTACCGTTTGACCTCAGTATGAAAGTTTATCTGCCCTCTTTATTTAAGCCTACACTAAAAAGTTAAGTCACTCAGTATGTTTAAAATAAGTATTTTTGTATTATTTCGTAAATATAACTGTTTAGAAACTTTTTTCAAAAGGCAATAATGGAATAAACGATATGACTGATTGTCACTTTAATTTTTTTTAAACTTAAAATGTTTTTTGATAAATCTAGGTATTCACGTTACGATTAGAGAAAATAAAAGATGTGCCCAAAATGATTGTTCCGATGTTCCAATTTTGATTTTCGATCTAATCTTGAGCTGCATTAAGCCTTAAAGGCTCTCAACCGACGACCGACATGGAAGTGACCCGTTAGAATTCTTTTCGCAAACAACTGAATCCGGCCACGCCTCGATACGCTATCGCGCCAAATTTAACGCCTCTAATTACAAATAAGACATAAACGTTTAAGATGCTAGTTTTAAAGTAGGTTAAAGTTATAAATTAGTTTTTATACGCTATTGTTACTATTGTAATTGAATATTCAGAGTTTGTTGGAATCAAATTTTATCTACTTTTTACACTCCGACGATGAATATGGTGACATGATGTCTTATTAATCTCATTTTTTTGGCTACAAAGATAATTTGACACATGTCGTCGTAACTTATTTTGAATTACTTTCTAAATGTCACCGATAACGAATAAGGCTAATGTATAAAATTAATTTCATGATTAACTTTTACTTAAGAATTAATTGTCTATTCCGAATAAAAAATGTTATCACTTAAGATTTCTCCTGTTCATCGAAAAAGTTTAAAAATATGTTACTTGTAGAAACGCGTTGATGTCTAATGTATGGAGATTCGAAAATCAGTTCGACTCAACATGTATTTTCTGTTAATGTTTAACTTTCGTATTAAAAAGGGGCTAACGGCCGTATTTAAATGGTTGTAAAACAATCAAAGAGCGACGTGACTTACTCCGATTGTGTCTGCGATCGTTGACAGCGTGGATAATATCGGCGTCGTTTCGTTTCGATCGAGCGCGGGAGCCGTGGGTATCCTGGTCCGGTGCGCGCCGAGGAAGCGCTGCGCCGCCACGCCGGTCGCTGACCGCACCGCACGACCTATTATGTAACTAGTACGACCCAAACGATGTCCACTGCCACTGCTTACTACGTCCACGATCTATATCTTTTCTTAATTGGCTCGCTTACTATGCGATTTATATCCTACCAGTATCATTACAAAACAAGCAATCGAATTGAACGACCAGTGTTCAATACACAAAAGAATGTTTGAGATAAATTGCATCTTGAAATAGAAAACATTATAAAATATTAAATTATCCGTTGCGGGCGTTGCTCTTTTAGATAAAAATAACAGATGCGGTTACCATTTCAACCACACGGCTAGCTTTAGATTACAGGGAAGTAATACATCGCCATTACATAGTAAAAAAACTTGCATCGTTCCCGACTTCCTTATATGAACCGGCGTTCGGTTGCGAGACTAGGAGCAGACTTACACTGATTTTGCACTTGTTTATATTTAAATTTGTTAAAGCTGTGAACGCATCTTTATTTTTTCGTAAAATGTATTCGCCGTTTTTTGTTTCAATACATTGTTAGGACAAAAAATTGACTTTGTCATCGCTGTTAAAGGAATGTATTGAAAAGCACGTTCAGCAAATTAATTGCATTAAATATTTTGATCACTGGACTTCTCACACATCTTCTTTTCATCTTTATATGTTTTTAATATAACTTAATATTATGAATAATATAATTTGTGAAAGCGCTTATGTTAATACCGTTAACTATCAACAATTAAGACCTCTTAGTGGTTTGTATATATTACACAGGTCATTACAAAGTTACACTGGTTGGCAAATTAAAAGAAAACAGATCAACACACAAAATAAACTAATTAGAAATCTGTGTCAATCCGATGGTCATGCTCTAATTCCGAAGCCCATGCGATATTTTCTATCCAAGTTACAATCTAAGAATAGTAAATAAGGAGCGCAGGCGAATGTCACCCGGCACGGTTCTCAAGCGCCACGCATCACTTCAAACTG